ATGTGAATATGACTGAAAATTTTCATTTTTTCTGAAAAGGTGGTGTCTATTTACTTGTGACAACGCTGTGTACACACACGCAAGCGCTTATCATACTACAAAGAGCTTTGCCTCGTTATCTGTGTATACTGATGTGACCTTTGTTAATAGAAAAAAAACAAAAACTACAGGATAGTTTTACCTGATAAGGCCAAACGCAGACTAGTGGTTAGCGAGCCGGACTGTGGAGCTAAAGTTCCATAGTTCAAATTCCCTTATTGCAAAAAAAATTGCACTCTGCGCTTTGGCGTCGTGGGTGCGTTATAAGAGTGACGGTCAAATCCCGCTTTTCCATCTGACATGAGTTATTGTCGGTGGGTGATGTTGACTAGTTGTCTTCCCTCTAGTCTATCACTTCAAAATTAAGGACGTCTAACGCAGATAGCTCTCGTGTAGCTTTGCGCGAACTTCCATACAAACCAAACCAAAATTAGGGACGGCTACTGCAGCTAGCCCCCTCGTGGATTTGCGCGAAATCCAACAAACTTGCGTAACATCATTTATGTGACTTAGGTTTTGTCTTATTATTGTTATTACTTGCTCGCCATCATGCGACAGAACTGTGTTCTAACAACGCCCGCCCACCTCCCTAGTGGCTAAAGGCTTATAACGCTAAATTCGGGGCTCGATACCCGCGATGAACTCCTTGTGTAGCTTTATACTTAACAAATATACAAACACCTATTGTGCGAGATACATCGGCTCACACTCGCGGATATTTGTACAATTTCGGAATACAGATAACAACTTGTGTTGTATGTGGAATTTTCATTAAAAAACGGCTCAGAAAACAGATAAAACTTCAGAAATGTTGTTTTATTCTAATGTTGTTTTATCCCCGAACCTCTTTTATTTATCTGTTTATTTCATACATAAATATATTTAAAACATGTCACGATCCTTTGCCGCAAAACGCGTTTCGCACTTTGGGCCTGTGGGGTACTATGTAAGAGTAACAGTTAAATCCCACTATTTAATCAGACAAGCGTCGCTCAAGAGTTAGCGGTTGGTGCTATTGACTATTTGTCTTCCCGTCTGGTCAGTTATTTCAAAATTCGTACCAGTTGTGCGCAAATAGCCATTTGCACGAAATTTTGAAATCAAATAAATTTCAGTAAATTATGTTTCTTTCGTAGGTGAATAACTTAAAGGAAGAATTTGAACACGAGCTCCGCCAACAGTTACGGAGACAGGCAGCCGCCCACAGTGACCACCTTCAAGAGGTCCTTCTGAGCCAGCAGAAGGAGTTGAGCCGAAAGCACGACGAGGAACTGAAGGATAAACTCCTGCAGGAGAAAACTCGTCAATTGTCTGAAATGGCCGAATCAATGAGCAAATTGAAAGGAATAGAAAACACGTTAAAAGGTGAACTAGCATATAAGGATGTGATTAATTAGTATAAGCACTCAAAAAATGATTTATTTTTGATATTTTAGATCTACGTATTCCTTAAATCAAATCTAAATACACCTTCTCTGAGATGACTAAAACCCCACGTGTATGTTATAGTCGTAGCTCTGTAGACCTTTCCACGGTGACCTGGTGGTTATGGCGCTTTACTCGCAATCTATTTGCGGGATCGAAATCCGTCGCCGAACATTATCGCCCTTTCAGCCGTGGGGGGTGTTATAAGTGACCTGTCAATCCCACTATTCCTTGGTAAAAGAGTAGCCCAAGAGGTGGCAGTGGGTGGTGATGACTAGCTGCCTTCCCTCTAGTCTTTCACTGCTAAATTAGGGACGGCTAGCGCAGATAGCCCTCGTGTAGCTTTGCGCGAAATTCAAAACAAACAAACAAACCTTATTTGTGTGCGGTATTCAGTTTTCAACATTCGATCGAGATTTCTCTCTCATACCAACGAACTTTTACAATCACAGTTTCAATTCGAGCAAATCGCACTGTGAAGTATCTTGTATAATTCAATTGGAACAGGAATACTGAAGCGAATAATCCTAGTATTATCGTCGGATTACTCGTTCGTTGAGTTTAGTATTACAGCACCTGGCACGTGTAACACGGATTGTAGAGGTTTGTGAATTAACTCCCCCCCCCCCCCCCGGGTAATGTACAGGTGTGATTGTCACATTCACAGACCTGTTTTAGGCTTCACAGAAGGTGCAGCCTAGATCACAATACAGTCACCAAATTTCACGACTGTCAAAATATTTTGTTCTCTAACACCGCTAGCTGGGGTATTGGAAGGTAAGGGTTAATCACACGAAGCGGAAACTGTTTTCTGTAAGCATTGAACCACATGTATACTATCATTCTTTCCTAACGCGGTAGCTAAGCCTTTTTTCTTCACGGCGTTTTTCAGTTATGGCTTTCATTCTTCTACTTCTGTTTTATTTATTTTTTTCCCGGTATAATACAAAAGAGCTTATATTTATTTTGTAAAAATCTGCTTCACTTTGCCTTTCTGTTAGTGTTTAAAAAGTATAAATTAGTTTGTTTTTTTAAATAAAGTTTTTTCTACTTCTGATTTGCTCAACAGATGGCGGTTTGTTTTGAGTAACGTTTATTCCAGCGAGTGATCAGAGAGACACACGTGGTATAAAAATGATTGGAGACGGCTTGAATGGGGTAAACATAACAGCAAATGTAAAACGTTTCGACAAGGTTTTGTCATCATCCAGTACAAAAACTTGTT